TAGTTTGGGTGTTATTATGTCAGAGATGACGTGGGGAAAAAACCATTTGATAACTATAAACTTGACTTAGGTCTTGCACATAAAATTTGCAATGGTTTACGACCAGAATTTGCTCCAGGAACTCCCGAATGTTATATCAAATTGGCTATGCAATGCATGGATTCCGATCCACAATTACGGCCTAATACTATTGATATTTTTTCGAAATTTCACCAATGGAAGCAAATTATGGAATCCGATGAGAATCATGAAATTAAAAATCAATTTTTAAAGGCTAATGAAATAATTGAGACACTTCAAGTTAATTTATCTAAGTCTCAAGATATAGCTTATACTAGCAGAAGAATTAATACACATGAAATTAAAAATACTTTATATTTGAATGTCGGTTCTCGCGAAATTGAATTTAAAATTCCTGATAATTCGAATTAATAAGGTGTACGCCAAATATTCACTATCACCATTATTTTATTATTTATATAATTTACACTATCACCTTTATTTTATTATTCATATAATTTACACTATCCACATTGATATTGTTCAATTTGATATATGGATGACATTTAAATTTATTTAACTTTAAACGAAGATATCTCGACAACTACCTGATAGAATTCAATGAAATTTTTTTTATTTTAATTTTAATGATTTTTAGAATTAAAATAAAAAAATTTTATCGAATTAAATCAGATAGTTGTCGAGATATTGTCATTTTGACTTTAAAAATTTTTTTAATAAAATTAGGATTCTCAATCTTTGATTGGACAATTGGGTGTTACACATATTATGGTCGAGGTATGCCAGAAATCTTATTTCGCGTCCACCACGTGAAATTTCAAGGATTATAGCGTCATCCTTTATTCTAATGTCGTTATTTGCCAAACTAGAGAATGGTGAAATCCTACTTATAAGTTCCCAAAACAATAAACCTAGACTATAACTGTCGGATTTCCTATCACTTTGCACTTTACTTCTTTATAACATTGTGGCTAAGTATATGCTGACATAGCACCTAATTCCATTTAATTGTTTTGACCATCTAAAGCCTGCAATCAAAGCTTTACCGTTATTTATTAAAATATTCTTAGAATGCTAAATATTTAATAAAATTTAGAGTTTTATTTAATGCATTAAATTCACTACATAAATTTATTTAAACAAGATTTACTAGGTCCCGATGAAATATATCATTATCATATAAATTTCCAACCCAAGAGCAATTTATTTCGCAATTTGAATAAGTTTAACTGTGAAATTTTAAAGATGCTATTTATCGTTGGTTTTTTAAATAACTACGCAAATTTCTATTGTTAGCGAATTACAACACGATCATAAAATCATCATTTTTTTGTTTGAATTATTAGTTATTGTTAGATATGAGTCAAATTTTATAATTTAAATATAAAATTTAATATGAATCATTACTTTTAAAATGAAACGTCTTCACACCTTGTAAAACCCATGGAATTTAACAACATTAGGATGATATTAACTTTGTGGAGAAGCTCTAGCTACATATAATAATATTATTCATTTTATGCTAAAAAACAATTGTAAAATCTTAAATAATGCATTACCTCTGCCGATAATTTTCAAAAATTTTTGATTTTTTCATCTTCCAAATACAAACTACTCTCGTTATAGTGAAATGATCGAGCTGAGAGATTTTCTTCACTATATCGATAGTGGTTTTATATAAACTGTTCTTCGCTATAACATTATGTTCGCTATAACGAGAGTGACTTGTATAATTTACGCTTTAAACATTTTAATGCATATTCTTTTCCTTGAAAAATTCTCAAGTATACATCTGCAGATGCTCCTATTCCAAGAGGTTTATCTCGGCGAAATTGTGAATAATCAAGAATTTCTATTTCATATTTTTTTAAATTCCCTCTAACCACTCTGAATGTTAAGTGCTAGTCCAATATTAAGGTATTAATGCATAGAATAAATTAAATTTTAATTATTTGCATTTCATTTTCTGAATGATCCTTATTTTTTTAGTTTGATGGCTAATTTTTATGATAATTAACCAATTAAATTACATAACTCTAAAAAATTTCATCGCTTTAATACTATGCACTAGAAGATAGGTCGATATGCGTAAAGTGGAGCAACTGTAGTATTCATTATTGATAAACCCAGACTCATTAATACAATAAACGATCTATGAACCAAAACTTATTACGGTTGACAGATCAAACCACAACGCAAGACCAAACATATTCAAGTATTAAACCCGGAACTTCTTTTATAATAATCCTATTCTTTAAATTCAATAGTTAGTAATAAAAGTTTTTTTAAAAATCTAATGTAATAAGGCAGTCGTGAACAAAAACGTTTCCACTTATTTTCATTTTCAATATAATTTGAGATTTTCCAGTAAACAGTCGGTATACTTTGCCTTCTAAGCTAAGTTCGCCGGGAGTAAGATTCTTTTGCACAGTAGATATTGACGCTATCCTAAAGCTATGAATGGGTTTGCGACGATTTTTTTTGTTAGTAAAACGCTGTACAAAAAAAGTACTTTAAAGTGTATAAATAAATTACCGGGCAATTGATTTACATCAGTCAATCAGACGAATTTCCTCCTATGAGATACGTAAAATACACATTATTACCTTTTGATTAAATATTTATGTAAATTGTATGACAGGTTATCCCAATTCGAGTTACTCCATTAATTGGAATTGAGAAATTATTTATTCAAGGGCATATTATTAAGCATAAAAGTAATATAAAGCTTTATTAGTTTGTATTTGATTTTTCTCGCCTTAGAAAGATTAAATGCACTTATATATTCTCTATAATAGCATCTAAGCGATATACAGAAGCATCAATTATGTTCCAATTCGTTTGAATCGAATTTAATCGATTAGCGAATATAGGGAGTGGCTAAAGCAAGGTGCGTTCATATGTTTTTGATTAGTTGGGAATTAGGAATGAGGGATGTTTTATAAGTAAAATTGTCCTCCCGATATTTTTATTAGTACCCAAGACAGGTTTAGACGCTCGTTTTTTGTATTTTATGCATTTTTCATTTTTTTTCTTTGTTTTTGTCTTGTCGGGGCTGATCCTGGAAATCAAAATTGTATTGATTCGCTGTTAGTCACGTGAACGCACCTTGCTTTAGATAACCTCC